TGAAGTCCACAAGTCTTAAAGTTGCCAAGGTTGGACACCCCTGCTTGCGGTAGGCATCGTTTTGGGATCCTTCCAGATGCAGCTATTGTGGCTGGGTGATCTCTCCGGAGTCGCTTCGGAGGGTGAGGTGAGCGACGTATAAACTTAATCCATTTCCCCTCCTCCTGTCGCTGTACCAAACGGGCGCATCCCTAAAGAGACCCACCTGGCGCTCCTCGTGCTTTCCCTGGACTTCAATCACGTCTCCCCACACTTTGACCTTCAGCTCCGCAGGAGAGAAATGCTTCACGTCCAGGCTGACGGAAAACTTGTCGTCGTCCAAATGCATCTGATGGCCAAACGGTTCGGGTTAGGAAAGAAGGTTTCGTAGTTATCAGGAAGTCAGGAAATCCCAGACACCAAACCCTTCAGCGTCGTGTTGGACACCTCGTTGCAAAGTTTGACCCCCCCACCCCAAGTTACCATAAAAATATGTACAAAATAAAAGATAATGGGTCTTTAAGACCCCTTGTCGATTTTGCAAAATTTTGCATCTTGTGGAATTTGCTGTGAATCTTCCCCTGTTCCTGCACTGGGTTGGTTTTGCAAATACGTTTAATCAGATCAGTGCAAAAGGAGCGGGTACATTCTCATGACATCAGAAACTTGGCTTGCTTCATCTTTAGCTCACTTTTTTTGTGGTTTTGCATGATGTGTGAACCCCGCCCGCATCTTTGGTTACTTAACAAACTTAGTCCAAATCCAGAAAACCCCAGATAACCCTTATTTCTGTGATTTCTCCAATGACCAATTGCATTCCAACTTTCCACTTCTTTGAAAATTCTTGTTTTTATCCTCCCCCTTTTTAATTTTTCCTTTATGAGGTCCAGTTTACTTGTTTGTTTATTTAAAACATCTATATAGCCGCCCATCTTACAAACAACCCTGGGCGGCTCCCAACCCCAGATTAAAAGACCTATAAAGCCACAAGGAAACTATAAAGATAAACCAGTCAAAACATTAACCCAATCTAAGATTGCAAGCAAGGTATGGCTTGTCTTTGGAGTGGAAAATACCCAGCTCTTTTAGCTGGTGGCATGGAAAGGAGCGATGCACCTGTCTGCATCTGAACAGAAGGGACAGAAACAATGTTCATTACACAAAGAAGTGAAACCTCGGTACAACAGAAGAATTACTGCCTCCTGGTCATGGCCAGCTGGGATGATGGAAATTGTGGGTGAACCTGTCTCGACAGAAACTATCAGAGACACCCCAATTTAAGAAGCTTTTGCCATGGAGCCCCCACACCCTCACTCTACTGCAGGCAAACCTCACAAAGAGAGGGACACCGCAGCCAAGAGAACAACCTACGTGGCTTGGGACCAGACTAGCCGAAGGACCGACCATCTCTTCCCAGTTACGTCCATTGACCCATAAGGAACGGGGGAGGCAAGAGATGGTCTCTTTAAGGAGGTCCATCTGGTGGGACCAAGAAGAAGGGCCTTCTCTGTGGTGGCTCCTTCCCTGTGGAAACATCATCATCCTCCTCCTTGCAGAAATACATTTGGCTTCGCTTTGGCACTCAAAGAGGCCCTGCCGATGTGGTTTTGCCATCACGCCTAGGGAGCTGGGGATGGTATGGAGCCCCTCAAGTGGCTGGTCTGATCGTCGTCACTCTGTGTGTGTGTGGGTGTGCATGGGGGTGGGTGTATGTGGGTATGTGTGGGGTTGAGGGTTCCTTGGGCTTCGTCTTGAGGTCTTGTAAGCTCCTGGAGTCAACCTGAGTGAGTTGGGGCAGCCGTATAAATTTTCTTCATGCAATAAATACACAAGCGGGTCAGCAGGTGACCTCCGTGGGCACCCTGGCATCAGCGCGAGGGGGAGGGTTACCTTGGGCAGTCCGCTGTCTATCCACCCGGCGTTCCGGAAGGCGAAGGGCCTCCCCAGGAAGGAGCCCAGGGGCCAGCCGCCTGTGAAGAGTTCGGACTCCACGAAGGGCTCCCCGAAATGCTGGCTGAAGATGGGGCTGGGCGAGGGGCCGGGGAAGAGCCGTCTGCGGAAGAAGGGGTGGTGGATGGTGACGTCCATCTCTCTCCCGTCCCCCCCCCAAGAAAGCGGGGGCCCCGGTGGCAGTGCAGACGGGCGAGCCAAGCGCCTGGCTTTATATGCTTGCCCGGTGCCAGGCACTGCTGGCTAAATCCCTCCAACCCATGAGGTCAGAGAGGCCTGATCCTGCTCTTCGGCCTGCGTCGGGGCCGGCCATTGGCTGAGGGGCTGGCAGAGGCGTCTCAGTGCCTGCATGGCGGACGGAAAAGAACACAGTGAAATTCTAGCTGGTCAGCAGAAACGGCTCCTCTTCCCACCCCCCACCCGTCCTGTCTCTGGACAAGACCAGGAAAAAAGAAAGGCTCAGCCAGCGTGATTCGCATTCCTGCTCCTTTGGTCCCTGGCGCGAATCCTGCCTTGACTATCTTTGTCTCGGAAAGAGTGCAGGGGAGCTGGCACCAGGCTGGCATTCGGTCATCCGGCCCACAACAGCCTCCTTCTTCCTCCCGGGCGGAACGGCCAGGGGAAGGGACTCGGGACCTCACACCCTCCCCGGGGGAGTTGAGTCATCTTGGCCCCGAGGAAAGGAAGGGCTGCCAAGGGTGGCAGATGAGGTCACCCCCCTAACACGTGAGGATGATGGCCATTGGGTTAGAGAACGTAAGGGAAAGGGGGAAGAGAAAGGAAAGGAAGGGTCACACTCCAAATATCTAACTTCAGTTGTGATTGTCACAGCAAGAGGGTAAACAATCAAGCGGTCTTGGGATGTTGCAAAGATTTTGGATGGTAGTTAGACGTTGGGTTCAATGGATCCAAAACTTTCCTTCCTTCATTTCCTTTTCTTTCCTTCCTTCCTTCCCTTCCTTTCCTTTCTCCCTTCCCTTCCCTTCCTTTCCTTCCTTCCTTCCTTTCCTTCTATTTCCCTTCCTTCCTTCGCTTCCTTTCTTCCTTCCTTCCTTCCTCCATTTTCCCTTCCTTCCTTTCCTTCCTTCTCTTCCTTCCCTTTCCTTCTTCCCTTCCTTTCCTTCCTTCCTTTCCTTTTTTTCTCTCCTTCCCTTCCCTTCCCTTCCCTTCCTTCCCTTCCTTCCTTCAATTTTCCCTTCCTTCCTCTCCTTTTCTCCCTTCTTCTCTGACTGCCTTTCTTCTTCTCTCTTCTTCCTTCCTTCCTCATTCCGCCCTCTTCCTCTTGCAGACCCCTGGCTTCCCCAGAAGGCTTCGGACACAGCCTGGGTCATTTGTTTTGGCCTTGGGGACCGTGGAGAGGTTGTTTCCTCGACCTCACGCCTGAGCCAAGTGTTTTTTGTTTTTTTTTAATAGGACGGTGAGATAGAAGAGACGAATCATTTTTCCCACTGGGTTAAATTTAAACCTCTGTGCTCAGGTCCTACGTCAGGCTCCTGCCAGTCGTGACAGCACCTCCCACTGAGTATGCCATGAATGTGGTTGGACCAGTTTCCCACATCTCGCCTTCGTTTCCTCTTTCTTCACGCCCCCAACTATGTGGGGGTGTAAGCGCTGCCACGCCTTTTACCCCCCAGAGCCGAGAGTTCCTCCTTGTCGGATCTGGATTCATCCCTGCTGAGTCTAAATTACCCCCCATCGCAAGAACACCTTGATGCAATTTCCAGGCGCTGAGAAGAGGGTGAATTAAATACAGCTTCCTTTGTCATCAGATGCTGCAGAGGGACTCAGAGCAATGGGCTCCACTCTGCAGCTCCCAGAGTAATTAGTAGTTCTTGGAAATCAGATCCTGGGATCACGGAGAAAGCGATGGGCATCTGAATAGAGGACCTGTCCATGGTTACTTGGAAATATGACCTGTTCCCTATGTCAGGACTCCAACAAACCCACCACCATTCAAATCATAAGTCTCTAGTCGCGTCTCTCAGAATAAAAAAAAATCTTTTAATAGGAATGGCCATGTCGGCATTAGCTGGGTGCAGCAGACCCTAAAATACATCATTCATTTCCCCCTTGACCCTGGTCTTCCCCCCACCCCCTGGATGTATATTCTCCAATGGGATACATCCATAGCCAAGAATCATCCATCATGCTCTCCAGTAACATTCTTGTGTGCCAAAATACCCCTTTGGTCTTTTATTTGCCATCCTAGTTGATTCCTGTCCCGGTGTTGTTTCATTCGACAAGGAACATCTGAGTAAGCCTCAGCAATAAATGAGCCTATTTATATGCAGCGGTGAGGTCAATAAACACGTGTTGTGAAACTGTGAAAGGGTGGAGTGGACATTTAGCACCATTTGGTTAGCACTCTGAACATTTGAAAAAAACAAAAACCAAGAAGTTTCCAAAACTTTATGCAGGATAAGTTCCGAATTTACTTTTCGGGAGCCCTTTGAAATAAGGAAAGCTATGGTGTATTGTTGAAAACTGTCATGGCAATAAAACCCTAAGATTATTCCTGGACAGGTAATAAAGTTTCCAGATGCAGTCGCTGGCTGTCCGTAGTTGGGTGGGAGCAGTGAAGGTTTGCAGCCTGTAAGGAAGATTTATTTTTATTTTATTTATTTGTCCATCGCTTACAAGCAATAGGTATAAGTATAAACATGAGTAAGAATACAGGAAATAGGTACGAAGAAATGGGGACAACAGGACAGGGACAGTAGGCACCAAGACGTGGGAATCTTGACAAAAAAGGAATATTTTTGAAATATTTGAAACGCTGAAATATATAACATCTGGAAGTGAATCAGATAGACGTTTCTCTGATTCAGTGACATATAAGGAGGAGGAAGAGGAGGGAACGGTGCAGCCCCATCAGGCTTGTAAAATTCTGCTATTATCGCCCATCTCATTACCGGTAAATGTAGCTTTAGCTTGCTTGTGACGTCGATTTCTTCTCCTCTGACTGCAGCAGAATTCAGGTGGGAGGAAAACCTCATCAATTGCACTCATGACACACACTAATTCCTAATCCGCAACAAACTAATTGTATAAAGGTAACGCACAACACAACCACCTACCAGTCATAAGTATTGGGTGTGCGCTGTACCCAAGACTGAAGTACGGTTAGTGTGTTGTTCCATGTGCCATGTGTCCAGGATCTCTGGAGCTTTTCTGTGACAGCCGTGATCAGATGCCGGAGAAGCCAGCTGAGTGCCTGATCTCTAGGGCAGAGGAAGTGGAGCAGAAGCAGCGGCAAAGTAGACAGATAGGCTCCAGTCTCCAATTTCACTGTGTGTAAACAAGGGGCATCTGTTACCCCAAAAGATGTGCAAGGAGTTTCTGGTTTCTGGGCATCAGCATCGGTTAAAATCCACAGAGTTTAAACACTGGTATTAAATAGGTTCCACATACAGATAGATAATATGACTAAGCTGTAATTAGTATAGATTTAAATCTATACATTACACATTCCTTGGTTTATAGTGCTATCTCTACAAACACACACACACACACACCGCAACGTTGCTTGTCAATTCTGGATGGCTTTCTGCCTCTTCTTCCTTTTCTTTCATTCTCTTTTAGCTCTTCTGTATTTTATGTATTTGCACAGATAGTAAGCTTGTTTCAGGTGGAGAGGCCTCGGCTGCTGTGCCAGAACACAATTCCCTTGTGAGACCATCGTTGTGGCTTTGCACAAAGCCGCGATGGGTTGGGTTGGGTTTTTTATTTCCCTGTTCCATGGTGTATTCGGCCAATGGTGGTGAAGCGAGCCAGGGCTTCGGGCGATGGCCAAACCCAGCTCAGTCTCTCTGCAGGGCTACAGAGGGTGGTGCATGAGGCACGTGGGAAACCCACTGTTGCACGCATTTTGGAGGTCAGGTCTAGCGCATTTGAGAAGCCCTAAAGCCGTTTGATCAACGGACTGCATGATGCCAAGGAAGGAAACAGCCCAGCCTGTGCGGGATTGTCTGTCCCTCACCTCAAGTTGGGTGTGAAAGTACCCAGGGATTTTTGCACACTTCTGCGTGGGGAGAGTTCCCTAATTAAGCTTCATCCACTTTAACCAGGGGTGGGATGCCAATATTTTTACTACCGGTTCTGTGGGCGTGGCTAGGTGGTCGTGGCCATCTGACTGGGTGGGTGTGCCCTTTTTTTTTGCAGCATAAACCCCCTCCCCCACGCTCCATTTTTTGGCCTCCTGGACCTCAGGCAAGCCTCCTCGGGAGCAAAAAACGGAGCGCAGCACACACACACCCGTGCACGCCCCTTTTTTGCCTTCTGGGCATCAGGGAAGCCACCTGGGCGAAGCAGTAAGACAGCGAGGGGGATCCTGGCACAGCTGATTGTCGGGAGGAAAAAGAAACACCTCAAGGAGTGACTGGAAGGGGGGAGAATGCAGTCAGCGACGTCGGGCATGCGCGATAAGGACTGACTGGGCGGGGAGGGGAGGAGCGGGCAGAGAGGGGCATGGGCAGCCAGGGACAGATTTGCGGGTTCTCTGAACTGCGCAGAATGGTAGCAACCGGTTCTATAGAACCGGTCCGAACCGGTAGAATCCCACCCCTGCACTTAACCCGGATGGTGGCAGCAACAACCCTAATGAGACCAGCCAGGCAGCATCTCAAGGCAGCTGCTGTCTAGTTTGAAATCCAGGAGTCGCATGCGATCACCCCGTTTCCCCCAAGATGCTGCTGGTCCAAGAGGCTAGAAGCCACCCGACCCACAACGTCAGGGGCATCGCTCACCACCAGTCGGTGTTCTCCTTGGGGAAGGGTTTCTTTTTTGCAGAGCCACGAGCATCCGGCCCTCCCTGGGGACTCAGCACGGCACGACCCTGCCTGTCTATTTCGGTCCACCTTTTATCGCTTCCTCCCCCCCCCCCCCCAGTGGAATTTGCTTGATCCAAGGGTCCAGCTGGCCAGCTGCAAAGCTTCCTAAGGAAGGCGTTGGAGAGCGAGGACATTCAAGGCAGTTTTCTCACCATGGCTCAGCAGCACAGCCTGCCCCATGCCTACCCCATGAGCCCGGAATGCGAGTTTGCTAACCCCAGCAAAATCTACGACCAGAATTTTGGAGAAGGTAAGTTGGGCAGGGACCGCCCCCCTCTCAACCTTCCAGGTTGCAGGTTTCAGGTGTTTCCTGCTCTGGGATGGAGGGACCTTCCCGGAATCGTTAATCTGGGGTGCATTTCTCCCCCTCCCCAATCCAGTGTGCTAAAAAGTACATCACGAGCCTCTTATGGCTGGAGCTGGATCTTTCCCAGGCCTTGGTCGTGTGGCTATGTAGACGAAAAGCAGGAGGTGATATTGGGCTCAGCAACCACTCTTATCGACTTGGGAGATCCTATGTTTGGAAAGGAGGAACTTCTGGATCCGTTTGGGTTTATTTTCTTGGAGGAAGCCCTGCTGGGCATCCTACCACGGTCAGTGCTGGGTGTGTGTTTGTGTGTGTGTGTGTGTGGAGAGGGACAAATTTGGCAGGGGGGCAATGCTTCATTCTGGAGATCCCAGCCTTGTAAGGTGGGCCAGTTGTCCACAAGTAACTCTGTTTCGTAGATGATTTGGACACACTTAGAAATTCCTTCTTTGCTGTAAAGTTTGTGGTATTTTTTTTAATCATGCTGCCGGTTGTGTTTCACAGACTCATCGGATAGGGAAGCTTATCCGCCCTGCTTCTCTCATCCCAAAGCTTCACAAAGACGAAGAGTTTTTCCAAGGGAAAGAGCTTGGCTTTGCCTTGATTCTTTGAAAGTTGGAAGGGTTCCCTTGAGGCCATTGAGCCCAACCCCTCCCCGCTGCTCAAGGCAGACAGACCCAAATGAAAATCTTTCCAACAGCTGGTCCTTTCTCTTCCACTTCTACAGGAAGGAGAGAACTCGCCGCTTGTGGTTCTCTTGTCGAATTCCTGAGGCCGGGAAGGTTGCTTGCCAGCCTGCCTTTCTGTGGTTAATTTGGATGCTTGTGGCAACGTTCTTTAAAGATAGAAAGATTTGCTTTTCATTACTTGATTTTAGCTGCTGCCCAACTCCGCCCAACTCTGGCCAGCTCACGATATAGTAAAAATGCGATCGAAAGAGGAACAAAGTAAGTAAAAGACCAAAAGTAAATAAAGGACAAAGGAAAATTAGTATTCTGAAAGCATGAGGGTGACGAAGATCGGTTTGCAAAGATTTAGATTTCTCCTTGGTGAGAAGCTAATAATAATCTCCATCTGGCTGCAGACAAGGAGATGTTTCTGCCCGGTCCTCCCCTCCCTGCTTGTCCCTCCCCTTCCCTGGCATGAATCGAGCTGGTGGAATGCAGTTGGCTGGCACGAAGATGGAGCTTTTGGAGAGAAAACAAAAACGCTGCTGCTGCTGCTGGCAGGAGACTTTGGGAAGCCCACTTAAGCGCTCCGAAGCCCAGCTGGCACGCGAGGCTGAAACGCCCCTGGAAGGAATGCAGAGGCAGCCACCAGATCCGCCAGCCCCCCCCCCCCCCCCCCCACTCCCAGCCCCATCGGGCAGCCTGCAGGGGATGGAGCTCTTCGCGTGAACCGGTGGAACAACTGTCTTGCACAAGCAGGGGTGTGTGTGTGTGTGTGTGCCCCAGCTAACCGTGCCAGGACCTCCCGGCGTAACCAGGATGGAGCCCACTTGGGAAAGAAGTTTCTCCTTAATTCCAGGTTGCTTCTCTCCTTGTTTAATTTCCACCCGTGGCTTCTTGTTCTGCCTTCAGGTGCTTTGGAAAACAAGTTGACCCCTTCTTCTTTCCTACCACTTTCATACCGCTCCTTGTAACCTTCAGAAATTAAAATCCTTTGATTTCTCTCACGGGTTCCTCCCCCTGCTCAAAATTGCTTTCTCTCATCCCCCACTGCTTTTTCAGCCATAAAGTAATCAACAAACTATAACCCATAGAACATCTGTAGCTCAGGTCTGAAATGAGGGGTCCTTGGTGCACTGAGCTCGGTTTTTTTTTTCTTGCAGATGTTTCATGATCCAAGCACCATGCACTACACTGATAATGTTCCCTAGCTGGGTCGTGAGATGTCTTAAAAGAAACAACCGAGCTCAGAGAGCACCAAGAACCCCTTATAAACCATCATTTATGTTAAGCCACGACTCTTTGTTTCTTCTAGGCCTTTCCCCTGGAGACATTCTGGCTCCAACCTTGTACCACGGTTACTATATCAGGCCCCGGATTAACAAACAGCTGGAACGAGGGATTTCGGAGGTCACCCTCAATGAACACAAATTCCAGGTTTTCCTTGACGTCTGTCAGTTCACCCCCGACGAAATCGCCGTCCGCACCGTGGACAACCTCCTGGAGGTGACAGCCCAGCATCCTCAGAAGGTCGACCGACATGGATTCATCTCCCGTGAATTCACCCGGACCTACATCCTCCCTTTGGATGTCGATCCTTTCTCGGTCAAAGCCACCGTGACCCATGATGGCATCCTGAGCATTGAGGTCCGGCGGACGGGGAAGGCAATGAAGGCCAAAGTCAACGAGGTGGAAGTCACCTGCCAAGGACCACCTGAAAGGAAAGAAGGAAGTCCAGGAAAGGCCTCAGATCCCTAAAACATCCTTCTAGGTAGGATGACCTGGTTTTGGGCTAGATTGAGTCGGTGAGAAAGTAGTCTTTCCTGGATGCCAAAAGGCCATGTCCAGTTGGTCTCCCCTTGGCCTCATCTTCTCCTCCCCAAATAATTCGAGAAAACCTCGAATTACGCCGTCTTCGATCCGACTTAAGCATGGTATATAAAATCATACATTGCAATGTCCTACCTGTCAATGAATACTTCAGCTTTAACCATAACAACACAAGAGCACACAACAGATACAAACTCAAAGTAAACCGCACCAAACTTGATTGCAGGAAATACGACTTCAGCAATAGAGTGGTCAATGTCTGGAATACTCTACCCGACTCTGTAGTCTCTTCCCCAAACCCCAAAAACTTTAACCTGAGACTGTCTACTATTGACCTCACCCCTTTCCTAAGAGGTCTGTAGGGGGTGTGCATAAGCACACCAATCGTGCCTACCATCCCTGTCCTATTGTTTCTCTTATTATTCTTTTATTTTTCTTATATGTACCCATTTCATGTATTCACAACTATGTATACACTTATACTTATTATCTTGTAAACAATTGGCAAATCAAATAAATAAATAAATAAATAAATAAATAAATAAATAAATATCTAGGGCTTTCATTCCAAGAAGCTTTTCCCACAAGGTCTTCAGGGCTACAGCTTGCCTTTTCAGATGTCTTCTAACCCTTCTTTCATCAAAATATAATTCCCAGGATTGAGAGTGAAGGCCAATGCGCCAGTTTGAAACCCGTGGTATGGGTAAACCAAATTCCTTTTCGTTTTTTTTTTCATTTTCAAGGGGTGCCATAATTCCTACCCTTTTTCTGCCCATGGGCCTCTTAGGAGGATGGGAGTTGTCCGAAGCATTTGGAAGACCCCTAGATTGGAGAAGATGGCACTCACAATGTTGCTGGCATTAAGACCCTCTCAAATGGTTCGACCTTACTTTCCTTACTGAAGAATTAATCGGTTGCCCTGTTGAGATGGGCTTAGTTTAACAGCCCATCGTAATTCCTTCCCTTTTCAAAGGATCAGCCCTTTTTATTTCGGAATTCTGTTAAGCTTTATTTACCACCCTTTCTTTTGTTCTTGGCTGCTTTTACTCATCTGTTGATGATTAAATGAGATTTTAAAATAAAAATAAAGCAAAGAACCTGTTTCCAGAACTATTGATGAATCATAACTTGGGAGGGGAAAGTAAATAAATAAATAAATGCAAACAGTTAAACACAGATACAATTTAAATCAAACCTTTATTATCAATGTACAACATGCGTACAATGAAATTCACCTAACTCTAGATTAGTTAGCTAAAATTTCCATCCAATAAACTTTTCCTATCATGCGACTATTGATAAAAAGCAATTTTTCCTGTCTCTATTAAACAATTAACTTTGATAAGCTGCATAATACGTACATTACTCAATACTGATTATGTTTAGCCGATCCAGTGAATCATAAGGGTTACAAATTAGATTTGTGCAGCCTACTAGGCTAAAATTTGGCTAGCAAGTTTGCCATTCCCTGGTTCAACTGAAGAGTTTCTGGGTTCCTAAAGAAGTTTTAAGAGAGCATTATGCCTGTTGTTTCTCTCACAAGCTCTGATTTAAACATTTCTAAACCATTTCAAACCATGGTTCCTTGAAGACCAACAAGCCAGGGTCAAGCCATTCAGATATATATATGATGGTTTATCCTGCAAGTCCTTGGTCAGCATAGCTGTCCCTGCAGATGGAAGGGACCACATAGGCACAATTGTGCAATATGCATTAGACATACAGATAATCCTCGACTTACAACCACAATTGAAACTTGTTGCTAAGCAAGACAGCTGTTAAGTCAATTTTGCTTTATCTTACGACCATCCTTGCCATAGTTGTTAATCGAATCACTGCAATTATTCAGTTAATAACATTGTTGTGAAGTGAATCTGGCTTCCCCATTGACTTTGCTCGATCATGCGACCGTGGGGAACGCCTGAACGGTCGTTAAGTGTGAAAAATGGTCATAAGTCACTTTTTTCAATGCCGTTTTAACTTCGAACGGCCACTAAACAAGTGGATCGAAACCAAGGATTACATCACTGTGGGAATTGTGTTTTTTGGGGGGGGGGGCTATGATCTTCGGGCTCGCACTTCCTGTGCCTCCCCATAAACCAGATTGTGATCTGGGGTTTCTCTCCGTGTCGAGCGCATTGCAACCACAGACCCAAACTGTTGGAGCGACTTGGGGTTTTTGATGGTCTGGGGATTCGAAGGCATATTTTCAGAGGGGGGAGAACAATCTGCGGCTGGAGGGGCCCATCCAACTCACAGCTGTTTGTGTTTCAGTGCGATGAGAAAACAACCAGCCATAAAGCCACAACTGGAAAGAAAGCACACCTGAGTTGCAGCCGCTGACCCACCGAATTCAGAAAGCTCATCCAATAACAACTCCGGCTGTGCGGAACCTGCCTGCAGTGCTGGATTCTAATTCTATTTGTGGTGCTTTATTTTAACATTTTTTTTAAAAAAAAAGCTAGCTTGTCCACTTTTGGACTTTCTGGGCAGGGGGGTGAAGTGCGACGCTGATTGGAGCCCAAATGGACCTCTCTAATCATGGGAACATCTTCCTGTGCCTCCCCAGAATGTTTCCTGCTGGCTGTCAGACCCTCAAATGGGTTTTCACAAGTTTTATCAATCACCTAGGTCACCCTTCTTCCCTTTGATTCCAAGAGCAACACACTCGGTTTACCAGCTTTGTCCTGACAAAATCTTGGCAGAGACAAATTGGAAAGTCAAGGAAATTGGCTCTCCAGGGAGTGAATGACAGGAGCCAGAATTTGGACCTGTTGTCTGTGGGTTGCAATTCAACGTGTTCTTGCTAAGAACGGCATTTGGGACAAGGCTAAACATTTGCGCCGCTGGTTAAACTATTCGCCATAAATTGGACTATGCTTTCCCGAGGTCCCAAATCTTCCTGGACTCCAGACATTCCTGTGATCTGATCTTCCACGGCTTGGCATAATGCCCTCTCCCGTTTTGGCACCCAATGATGGCTGGCCTCTCATCTCCCACATGGACCCCCAGCCTCCACCCCCCCCCCCAAAAAACCCCCAGGGATTACCTTTGAATACCTGCACAAAAAGCACAAAAACGCACCCGAGGGCACTCTTCAGTGGGGGCTCTTTCTGTGCCCACAGGCGTGTTATGAAAAGGGAATGTGATCAGGCAGCCAGGACTGGCTTGGTGGCTCAGGGAGCGGGTGTGGGGGAAGGAGTGTTGTTGAGAAAGCTTTTGTGTTTCTGCACTGGAGCTGAAAAGCGACTCCAGGGACACAAACTATCATGCCCCTGTCGGAGTCTGAATCCAGAGTCTGAATCCGAGGAGAAAGACGAACAGCTGACAGGGAGTGGGAGTGTGGCTCTGTTGGCTGTGGAGGAAACTGGGGAAGGGCAAAGTCCGGCTGGGCAGAGCAGGGAAGAGGTAGAACAAGGGAGAGAAAGTTCAGAGGAAGACCCAGGCCCACCCCCTCTTCATCCTAGGGCACGCAGGGAGGAACGGAGAAAAGAGCAACGTGTGTTGTGTGGCTTACGGGGAAGGAAAGGGCCCTGATTCCCTTCATTAACCACACCTGGGAATGAGAGTTTAAAAGAGATGCATGCTGAGTGCGGCGTATGCTGGGACCAAACGTGAGTTTATCTTGTGTTCACTTCGGTTATCTGCATTCCTGGCATCTTCCTGGCATCATGTTGAGTTATTGCCGTGCCTTCACGTCTGGAATTCCTGCTGGACTAATTACTTCATCTTGCCTTGATTGGATTTATAGTTACAGTTTTTGTTGACCATGTTTTAGACTTGATTCTCTGCAGCCCAAGGCTGCTCCTGGGAGGGTTTTTCTCCAGACCAGACGGTAACCAGGACATTGGGGGCAAAATTGGAGCTAATAAAGGGACTCCTACAGTTTATCTGATTGTGTTGCCTTTGTGCCACGCCCCTTTGGGTCATCACACAAACCCAGAGTGGGGACCGAGAGGAGCAGCCTTGCAAAACGTGGGTTTGGGGTTTTTTTTGGATTTTCCGGTCTGGCTCCATCGATTCCTTTGCTTCCTGCAAAAGTATCATCATCTTGGCCTGACCTTTATCCCTTATGGGAGGGGCAATCACCTCACAGCCCTACTCCCGAGTCGCCCCTTCTGCTTCAGCTGCTTTTGCCTTCTAGCAGCTCTGTGCACATGCACACTGGGAACAGGCTGCCCTTGCTCCTCTGCCTCGCTGCTGCTGGACTCCAAAGGCTCCAGAATCAGCACCCCACTCCCAGATGGTCCTGGCCACATCTCTGCATCGGATGCAGGACCCTTGTCCGAGTCCTCTCCAGACTGGTCCCCGTTCTTCACCACTGTCTGATTCCTCTGCCGTCTGCACCGGCTGCCGGCGAACCACAACAAATCCCAAGCGGGCAAGTTTGCATCCATTTATGTCAGGAGAAAGCCTCCCCCCACCCCACATCTCCTCTTGGGGTCTTCAGGACTTTCATGTCAAATTTTATTTTACAGATAGTCCTCGACTTAAGAACTGTCCGTTTAGTGGCCGTTTGAAGTTACGACGGCACTGGAAAAAAGTGACTTATGACCGTCTTTTCACACTTATGGCTGTTGCGGCAGTAGTCTCTACGGTCACGTGACCAAAATTAGGACGCTTGGCAACTGGCTCATGGTTATGACGGTCGCAGTATCGTCTTTTTGTGACCTTTTTGACAAACCGAGTCAGTGAGGGAAGCCGGATTTGTTTAAGAGTCGTATTCATGATTTAATGTCTGCAATGTTTCACTTAGCAACCGCGGCAAGAAAGCTTGTCAAATGGGGTAACCCGCATTGAACGACTGTCTCGTTTAGCAACAGAAATTTGGGTCTCGGTTGCGGTGGTAAGTCAAGAAACTACCTGTATTTTATTCATTAATTAAATGTCTATGCCGCCCCTCTTGCCTAGAGGCAATCAATAAATCACCATTAGAAAACATTAAAATAATAAACGGTAGCAGTATTGCTATTACTAAATACAAGGCTGATGCGGTGGCCTAGAGGCAGAGCTCTTGCCTCACAATCAGGAGGCTGTGAGTTTGATCCTAGGTAGGAGGCAGATATTTCTCTCTCTGGGCCCAATGAGAATATATCTGCCGAACAAAACTCCGTATTGGCAACAGGAAAGGGATCTGGCCAGTAAACACTTGGCTCCATTCAGTTGCCTAGTCTCCACCTCTCAAGGGATTTATGGGGGTCATAAAAAGTAGATGATGATTACTAAACACAACTGGTTTAAAACTGACAAATTTTAAGGGTAAACAACGCACAGGGGACAAGGTGGGGGGGTCTTATCTCAGTCCGTTAACACCAACACCCCAACCCCATTGGGGTCCCAAGCCAGTTGGCAGAGACAGGTCTTCAGGGGGGGGGGGCAGATCTCGCCGGGGGGGGGGGGGGGGAGCACGATGTTCCAGAGCCCATCTCCAAACCTTGGCAACTTTAAGCCTGGCTGACTTCAACTCCCAGAATAATTAACACATTAATAATTAAATAAATTAATAATAAATTAAAATAATACATCTGGGAATTGAAGTCCGCCAGGCTTAAAGTTGCCAAGGTTTGGAGACCCCCCCGCCCCGTTCCAGAGGACGGGAGGGGGGGGGGAAATGGATGTAAGTATTTTCAGATGTCTCCTCTGAGGTTTTGTCCACCTGGCAGCTGCCCCCCTCCTGTTAGAAAAGGGGTTGTCACTCAAGAAAACACCCCGACAGGTGTCCGTCTTTCTCCTTCCGCCTCTCCACCTCCTGCCAAATGACAA